AACACAGCACTAATTTTTCAGTGTAACAATCAAATACTGAAAGTGATGGCCCACGTTCCCATTACACGTCTGACACCTTGGCTAACAGTCATGGCCCTGGAACTCTTCTCCGTAGGCCAGACCCATTTAAAAAATCTGTTCATTCCAGAGCTTTGGGAGGCAAAGGCAGGAGTATTGTTTGAGGCCAGGAGTTTACGGCCTGCTGGCACAACATAGTGAGACCCCATATCTACAAAAATAAAGTAAAATAATTAGCCAGGTGTGGCAGCACACACCTGTAGTTCTAGCTACTTGGGAGACTGAGGCAGGAAGATTGCCTGAGCCCGTGAGTTTGAGGCTACAGTGAGCTATGATCATGTCATTGCACTCTAGCCCAGGTGACAAAGCAAGACCCTGTCTCTAAAAAACAAATAATTTTATTGAGAGAGAGACATAGCAAGGCTGGCTGATCCCAAGGAAGAGTAATAAACCTCTACAAGAAAACTGCCATACTTTGTCTGAGCCCAGCCTGTTCACCCTCAAAGACAGAATGACGGTCTTCCCCTTCTGTCTGCACTCCTGGCTATTCACAGAGCACATCAGCAGGGAAATGCTGTCTGTTCTACTCATGTCTTACTGGTGTCTTTTTAAGTTAAAGTAAAAATTAACTTTATCATTTGAAGTAATTATATGTTTCTTTGGCATTTGCATTTACCATATTCTCAAGTTTTATCTTGTCTCCCTGCTTAGAAAAGTGAAATTGACATTATTGAGCATCTTCTCTGCGACAGGCACTATGAAATCACATTAGTCAGATGTTGTCCATTAGTTAGAAATGTTTCTATTAGTTAGATGCTTTGTCTATGTTTTAATGAGAACCTGCTGTCAAAGAGCTAACTTGTGTTTTCTTTCCCAGGTTGGCTTGAAGGAGTGCTTTAGGACTATGAAGAACAGGATGAAGACAGCAGCTAAAATGGAACACACCGGCAGAGACGTTCAGCTCCTTGAGCTTTGCTTTCCAAGCTTGAGCATGGCAGAGTGGCCTTGTTAAACCAGAGTTCAGGGCACCACCCTGACAGTTTCTCATTAAGTCCCCAGCAGGTACCAAGAACCCCTTTTTCTTTCTTTTTCTTTTTAATAGAGTAAGGATCTTGCTATGTTGCCCAAACAGGTCTTAAACTCAAGCGATCCTCCTACCTTGATTTCCCAAAGCACTGGGATTCCAGGCATAAGCCACTGTGCCTGGCCAAGAGCTTTTGTTTTTAGCAAGTTTCCAAATGATGCTGGTCTACCGGACCTGGGACCACACTTCGAGATTTGTGTGATAGGAGGCTGGGATCTTTATCCATTGACTCAACTCCCATTCCCCGTGGTTGAAAGTTTGCCCTTGGGCATCCCTGGGAGGCCTGGGGGCTGACAAGAGTCAATGGTTTTGAAGAAAAGCCCCCAGACAGTGAAGTGGGATGTGCTTGAAGTGGGGCACTGTCATCACCCACCTGCCCACATCAGAGGTGGGCTCAAAGGTAAAGCATGGGCCAGACGTGGTGGCTCACACCTGTAATCCCAGCACTTTGGGAGGCTGAGGTGGGTGGATCATGAGATCAGGAGTTCAAGACCAGCCTGGCCAACATGGCGAAACCCTGTCTCTACTAAAAATACAAAAAATTAGCTGGTCGTGTTAGGGCATGGCTATAATCCCAGCTATTCTGAAGGCTGAGGCAGGAGAATTGTTTGAACATGGGAGATAGAGGTTGCAGTGAGCCGAGATTGCACCATTGCATTCTAGCCTGGGCGAAAGAGTAAGACTCGGTCTCAAAAAAAAAAGGTAAATCGTGGCTCACAAAAGTCTTCTGCCAAATACCTGCCTGTGCCTCCATTTCTTCCTCTTTAAGACGGGTAATTAAACCAGTGTTCTAGGGTAGCGTGTCACCACCCTTGAATACAGCGTTGCTCCCTGTCATGACTCCCGGACTTGTGGCCAGACTGGAGCCTCCAGCAATCCAGGAGCACAAACAAGGACGCCTTAGAACAAAGCTTGTATTCAGGGTGCCCTTCGCTGCCTTACAGGAAATCAGAATAACCTGGGGGACAACTGTTCATAAGGACAAGAGCCAGCATCACCACCTTTGAGTCCCAGCCTGCTCAAATCCGTGTTCTGCACCGCACCACCTCATCACATCCTAGATATTGTTAGTGTCATGTCACTCCCTGACTCAGGAGCTGCGGGGGACTCTAGTGAGAGTGGAGCAGTCACTCTCTCATCTGCCACCTCCTCCCCTCACCTCTGTGCAGCCGATGACCAGGGAGCCTGCCTCTCGCTGTCCCTTTCAAAGCTTTCTAGGTCTCTCCTCTGTGCCTTTGATCAGATCTTTCATGCTGCCCAGAACACTGTCTCTTTTTCCCATGCCGGTGATATCCATTACTTTCTTCAAGGTCTGGCTCAAAACTCAGCACTCTTGGGAAATTTCTGCTCCAGAGAGACAGGGTCACACAGGGCACAGAGAACCTTTGTGGGAGGCAGAAGCCCTAGGTTTGTTAATGTCCTGGTTCAGACACTTTGCAGCCTCATGGATGACATTAAACAAGCTCCTTAGCCTGTTATTTTACTTTGGGCTACCCTAAAAGCAGAGACTATCATGTGGACTTGGATATGTGTAGTTAATTTGGGAAGTGATCCAGGGAAGCCGGAATGAGGGGTGGGAAGTAGGAAAAATCCGACAATTATGTGTCATTGAGCCCATTGCCACTGTGGGCTACTGGAGATCGGTTACACAGGGTTCTCTTTGTGAACCGTATTAAAAGCCCCTCAGCATTGGCCTCCCAAAGAACAGGAGGCTGGGATCTTTATTGACTCAACTTCTAGTCCCCAGCATTGAAGGTTGCCCTTGGGGAACCCCTGGGAGGCCTGGAGGCTGACAAGACTCAAAGGCTTTGGAGAAAGGCCCTGAGACAGTGAAGTGAGATGTGCTGGAAGTAGGGTGCTGTCCTCACCCACCTGCGCACGTCAAAGGTGAGCTCAGGGGCGAAGTGTGGCTCACAACAATCTTCTGCTAAATACCTGTCTGTGCCAGTTTCTTCCTCTTTAAGATGGGGTAACTATCCACGTTCTAGGGTAGCATGTCAAATGACAGAGGTGACATGCATGAAGGCGCTGGCTCAGCACACGCCAGCCACCCCAGCCTCCTGGACTCTGTGTCCACTCAGCACTCACAGGTGCTGTCTTGGTCATGTCTACCTGCATGTACAGCCCTCAGTGTTTACCTGCAGCTATTGCAGGTCTTTTATCTTAGCTGAAGATAAGGGCAGGGTTCTTCCCTTCTTTTTCTGTCACCCATCCCAGAGTGCGTACTACACAGCTGAATGCCACGTAGGCCCTTGGTACAAATGGGTGTCGAGTGAATTTCCTGTTTCAAAACAGTCATCTGTGAGCCTGTCCTCCTCCGGAGCTGCCCTGCAAGGTCAGGGAGAAGCCACGGGGCAGCGTCCTAGCCGGCTTCATACAGCTGAGAGACCAGCTCCAACATTGCATGAGCCCATTGCCAAACTGCTAATGAAATACCATGCACTGTGGCAAACACATGGCAGCCTGGGGAGGGAGGTCTCCAGGTGCCCCGAGCCCTGGCAGGGCAGTGGGCAGTAGATCACGCCGGCCTGCCCTGCGTGAGCTTTCAGCACGGATGCAGGCGAGTTCCCAGAGGACGATGACTCATGCCCGCATCTGTAACTGGTTATTCCAGATGTTGCCCTGCAGTGGGACTACTCTCTGCTCTTCCCACCCCTGGCACCAGTACAGCATGGGAGTGCATGAGAGTGAGCCTTGGTTTCTTTAGGGGAGTCACTGCGTAATTGAAGAACAGTGTTCACGACAAAGACAGAGGGACAGGGCAAGAAAGGGAAGGCAAGAAGATGATGTTCCATACTACTCTCGGCAGAAAATGTGCTTTGGATATTTTGGGCTATTTTTCCAATTGTAGGGAGCACTTTCCCTGAGACACTGATTTGTCATCAAGTCAAGTGATGTTGGGTCTGGGCCACTCTCTGCATCTGTAGCCTGGAATCATCTTCTCTGGGCAAAACCATGTGACGCACATGAGGCTCAAAGCTAGACATTCTTTCTGTCTATACTGTACTTAGCAAAGACATCAGGCTCAACTGCTCTGAGAAAAATTTTAAACAACTTCTCAGAAACAATAAACATCTTGTACCTACCTGAATTTTTACACTTAGACAGGCTTTTAAGATTATTAGCCTCTATAAAATATATACAGGGATACCTCAGAGATACTTCAAGTTCAGTTCCAGACCACTGCAATAAAGCAGATACCACAATAAAGCAAGTCACATAAATGTTGTGGTTGCCCAATGCATATCAAAGCTGTGTTTGCACTACTTGACTGTAGCCTATTAAGTGTGCAATTATATTATGTCTTTAAAAAAGTACATACATTATTTTGAAAAGACTTTATTGACCAAAAAATGGTGACACAGAGACATAAAGTGAGCACATGCTGTTGTGGAAAATGGCGCCGACAGAGTCATTCGATGCAGGGTTGCCATGAATCTTCAATTTGTAAAAAACACAATATCTGCAAAGCACAATAAAGTGAAATGCAATAAAACAAGGTATGCCTGTAAATAACTCTAGAATCAGTTATTTATTCTTTTTTCCCTTCATCTGGAATTCCTACCTCGTTATCTCCAACTACAGTAATCCTATCCTTAAGAACTTGCTCAAATGCCCCCTCCTCCAGGAAGTCCTCACGATCACCTCCACCTAAAAGAGCTCTTCCCTGGAGACAAAAGGAGGGCAGGCACAAAGGAGACAGTTAGTTTCCTTTGTAGTTTGACCTTACATAAACTTTGGTGTCCTGGGAAGAATAATGCCAACATTTCCACATTATACATGTAGAAATGGCTTCAAACTCATATAAATCTTTGGTTTAATAACCGTGTATAAATGCAGTTAGAGAGAGAGGGAGGATGAGGGAGATTTAAAAATAAAAGGCCAATGGAGAGGAGGCTATTAAATTATGTGGCAATGATTTATTAATTGAGAAGTAAAGGGAATTCTTCTCTGTCTTCTTCTAAATGATCTGTTTCCAACTTCTAAACACTCCCAGATGTGGAACGCATGTTTCTTCCTTCCATTCCTCTCTTCAGGCTGCCCTGACATTTGTTAAATGGGCTCCTGGGTCCTGGTTTGCAAATGTTGCCACTTTGAGATCCATAGATGGTCATCCCTGGCTCCCTCAGGGAGTGTCCTGGAATCACCAGCTCCATCTGCTCCACAAGAGATGAGTTTGTTCTGTTACCTCTTTCATCATTAGCCAAAGCTCCGGGACTTGGTTAAAACTTTAGGCAATTAAAAAGACTGACTTACAGGGATCGTAGTGTTTTCTCTATATTGTCCCTGCTTGAATTTATGTTCTTGAATTCCATTAACCTGAAATATATCAAAATACCAAGACGTTATGAAGAATGAAAACAAATATGGAAAAGTGAACACAGTTGTCTGTAAAGTTTCTGCAAGATGAGTTGTAAGGGAGGACAGCCTTCCATCTCGATGGCTCCCACCCTCAGGTCTGTGAACATCACTGGCCAGAGCCTCAGGGGAGCCTTCAGTTAATCCTTTTTAAATGAATGAGAGGTAGATGGAGGAGGGCATCTCGCCTACAAGTTGGCTCCCAAATGTCATGTTGTATTAGTAATTCAGCTCATGGCTTCACACTGCAGGTCTACTCAGGGAACAAGTTACGTCTTGTTTGCAATGGTCTTCAAAGTATGTCATCCTTTTCTTTCCTCTTCCACTGCCACCAGCATATTCCAGGTCTAATTGTGCCTGGCCTTCCCAACTCCAGGTTACTCCCTCTCCAATCGCCCTGTGTCCCTCTGCCGGCCTCCTCCTGTTTCACAGACCCTCTGGTTGGGTGTCTCTGTTTTTGTTGTCACTTTAGACAGCAGCTCTCTCTGGCCTTCATCAGCCATCACCATGACGGCACATCACCAAAGCCCTGGGTGCAGTCTATCCTCATTGCGACTTTGTGCTTTGGTTTGCATCAGACCATTTGGTTAGAAAGCTGCTCTTCCTCAGGCCCACCTGTCAACGTTCTCCCAATGTCTGAAGGTCTGGTTTAAGTGCCATGTCACCGGCCTTTACCACATCCCCTCTCCTCTATGCTGTGGCTACTGTTGCTGCCATGGCCACAGCAGGAAGCCGGCCTTGGGTACTGACTGCCACATAAGGACAATGGTCACACAGCTCCGGGAACCCCTGAGCAGCTGCAAGGAGGCACAGTGATGGCACCAGTGGCTGTGTGCCCACCCACGGGCAAGCAGTCCCCAGACAACCTCCTTACCACATGTTGTCCCCATCCCTTTGTCCCTTTGGGTCTGGCACCTACATTGTGGAGGGTGAATGCCCACATGAACTTCCTAGCAACAGGGCACTCCTGTTGCCAACAAACAGAAATATGGAGGGATGTGATTAAGCTCTTTTGAAACATCATAAAATAGAGACCAGATCAAGGAAGCTACATTTCAGAAACATGAGTTAGTTTCCTATCTCAATAAACAACTGCTAGATGGGATCCACTATTGCAAAGTCTCCTGATCTCCTCAGAGAAAGCAAAAGCCACACTTGCCATGTATCCTGTATTTGGGGGAAAATCAAGGAACTCCCTGAGGCTAATCGTATCTACTCAATAGAAACTTTCATCTGAGAAGCCCTAAGTACTTTGCACATGTTAGCGAGTAGGTCCTAAGAATACTCCTATTAAGAAGAAAGAGGTTAAATTTACTTCACCTAAAGGTTGGGGAAACCAGTCTAGAGACAGAGAAAAAGTGATTTACTCCAGCTCAGGGAGAACAGAACTCAGATGAGATAAAATTCAGAGGCTGGAATCTCAAACTAATGTACTATCACCGTATGTTACTCAATGCACACTCGTTCATCCATTCATTCTGTGCCAGGCACTGCACTAGGCTCAGGAAAAAACAATGAGCATAAGACCCAGCTCTTCTCAGGCTTATCGTATAATAGATGAGGCCGAGAATGAAAAGTAAGCATACAGACAAAATCACTAGACTGTGCTAAGTGCTAAGAAGGAAACAAGCATCCACCGAATCCTTATGGCCCCTGTCATTTGTTCTCACAGCATCCCTACGAAGAAAGTATTTTACAAGTAAGAAAGCAGAATCTCTACAAGGTCAGGTGTTTGCCCAAAGCCTCACCACTCACAGGTGGCAGAGCAGGAATCTAAATGCACTACCCTCTCCCTCCAACACCCATTTACCATGAAGCCAAAATGCATCCACGCATTCCCAGAGCCAGTCTCGGAAGGATGGACAAACAGCAGGTCTGTGGCAGAACTCCCTTTTTCTTCTAGTGTTGTATCTCATCTTCCCTGTTCATCAAGAAGAGGCTGGTGGATAACACAGCCTAAGGAAGGAATGGTGTCTGTCTTCATGGCTTAGGAAGCTGTGAGACATCCCCCAAACTCCTGCTCCAAAGAATATGTTCATTCTAAGCAGTATATACACAACAGAGTTAAGACGCTTTAGTAGGGGCCAGCATGGTGGTTCACACCTGTAATCCCAGCACTTTGGGAGGCCGAGGCGGGTAGATCACTAGGTCAGGAGTCCGAGACCAGCCTGGCCAACATGGTGAAACCCCGTCTCTACTAAAAATACAAAAATTAGCCTGGCATGGTGGTGTGCACCTGTAATCCCAGTTACTCAGGAGGCTGAGGCAGGAGAATGGCTTGAACCGGGAGGC